ACAAATACAGTTATACTGATTATATTGACAGAGTACAGTCACATGATCATGGAATTTTAATCAATATATATATATATATATATATATATATATATATATATATATAGAGATGAGAGAGAGAGAGAGAGAGAGAGAGAGAGAGAGAGAGAGAGAGAGAGAGAGAGAGAGGGGCTGAAATTTGGGCTAATTTAGCTCACACATTTTCACAAATTTTATGACACATAAGTAAATAAACATAATATTGATTGCAATTTTCATACATCCACAGTGGTTTATTGATTGAATAAAATGCTGTTCCCATACAGCTTTATTATATATGCCCTTAGTCAGATAGCACCCCAAAAAAACAAATATTGTCCAGGTATATCAGTCAGACAATATAACTGGCCTAACTCTAGGCTTACATAAAAATATTACTCACAACAAAATGTTTTACATCATGCACTAGTCAGTTTGCTTTTGGTCTAACTTACAGTGTAGTTGAAAAATTGAGTGGTCATGGTCTTTCCATGCAAGACATCTGGGTCACTTACATGATTAATATACTGGCAATGTGAAGTTGAAATATGCAGTCTTAAAATAAATATTCACACATTGGTCATTTTAGGTAATTGTTATTTTAGGGTACTTTTATAAATGTATGATAAGCTGCTAATTTGCACATATGTAATTGATTAATTTGATTTTAATTTGTAGTTTTTCATGCCCTACTTCTACATAACCCTAGTCTGTTGTGAATTAGACATTTAATTACTCCTTTTTACAATAATGATGTTTGGACATTAGTGTAAATGCCTAATCAGCAGCAGAATAAGATTTGGCCAAATAGATACAAATAAATTTTTTATCAAATTAAATTAAATTAAAATATAAAGTATGCAGATAAGGAGCTAGTACACTCTAAAATGAAGTGTTAGCATTCAGATCTCTATTTGAATACCTGCTGATTTATTACAACATGTCTTGATTTTCATTGCACACCTTTATTTGCCCTTCCATGTCATTGAAATGCAGGTCAGTAGGAAAGTACAAATTGAAAGTGACACTTGTCAGGCCTAAGTTGGCATGTCCATCTTGTGTTTTGACTTGCACATGACCTATTCAACACCCCGGAATTACGTCGGAAGTGTGAATCCAATTTGTGCACGCTGTGGATTAGAATGAGGTTTAACAGCTTGCAGGTGACAATTTTTGGACCCTAAGTAGATAAATTAAAGCTCCTTGGTCAGAAATCCCAAAGCCGAGTAACAGATGGTTTCCTGTATGTAGATCTGGTCTCTCTCATATATACTGTTCATTTACTTTTAGTTTAGCAGTTTTATTTAGGAAGAATTTTTATTTTAGTTATTTATTCAATATTTTACCAGGTAATAATAATATAGAATAGAATAAGTGTTTATTTTGATTTGTTGTGACAATAACCACCAAACATGCACTTATACATATAGACATACATTCTTGTATTAATCTAGCTGTTCATATTTCAGCCTTTTCTCAAATAGCAATTCTCCTGGACATGTTTAAATGAGCAGAGTGAGCAGAATCCTGGTTAAAATGAATCTCAATGCTTGCCATCATTCCCCCCCCCCCCCCCCCCCCCAAATCATGCAGTCTTATTCATCACAGCTTTTGAATGATACAGTATAAACAAAATATAATGCCAACCATGTAACTGAGTGGCCTGCATTTATCTTTTAAATGAAATTAAAACAGAACTGAACTAACAACTCAACAACTCAACTAGATACTGTAAATGTACATGCATTGAAAAAAATAAAAGAAGCTCTATTGTTTACTTTCTCTATAGTGATAAGGAATAGAGAGAGGAGAATTGCTCAGTAAGTATTTAGGTATTGCGGTTAGCATGTGTTCACTAAACTTGACATGAACAATGGTTAACATACATTATATTATTTGTGTCATTTATAGTTAAAGTGTTGTTCAGAAGCTTTAATCCTTGTGAGGGTGAGACAGTGGGAGGAGCTACTGATGCAGAGACTGTGGTCAAGTGACTAATGACGTCTATTCTGTGGGCGGTGTGAAGTGAGCAGTTACGAGGCTGTGACAGATGGGCAGGACCCAGGGTTGAGCAGGGCCTGGTGCTGTTGGTTGTAGGATTATTACAAATAAATAATTTTAATAATAATAATAATAATAATAATAATACATTATTTATTTTTATTTATTTATAAAGCACTTTTAAAAACAAGGCTTACAAAGTGCTGTACATGCAAAAAGAACAATACAAAAAGGATAAAAATAGCATGCAGAGGCATACATACAAAAAAGGTGATGCTAACAACCCAATAAATTATAATAAATAAATAAAAAGAAATAGAGTAAAAATAAATATGGAATACAATCAAGCTAAAACCAGTTAAAGGAAGGCCAGCCAATAAAAATGAGTGTTAAGAAATTATTTAAAAGATGATACTGATGGTGTTAGTCTTTTTTCCTCAGGCAGGTCATTCCAAAGCTGAGGTTCCTGGACTGAAAAGACTCAATCACCCTTCGTCCAGAGCCTGGACCTTGGAACAGCTAACAGGGACTAGATAACAGGATCTAAGGCTAGGAGAGGGCTCGTACAGGGTTAAAAGTACTGAAATGTAACTTGGTGCAAGACCTAAATGAGCTTTAAAAGTGATCATTAAAATCTGAAAATCAATTCTAAGACATACAGGCAGCCAGTGAAGGGAAGCTCAAACAGGGGTTATGTGTTGGGTCTGTTAAACCCAGTGAGGAGCTGCTGCGTTCTGAATTGGTTGGAGGCAGGAGATGGATTTGGAGTCAGGGCCAGAAAGGATGGAGTTGCAATAGTCTAGATGACTTTTTCAAGATCGGGACAGGACAGGATATTTTTGATTTTACTAATTATGTGGAGGTGGAGAAAACAGGATTGGGTGACTTTTTTGATGTGAAGGTTGAGGTGAGAATCAAAATTAATACCAAGATTTCTGGCAGCAGGCGTGATGTTGGGAGTGACTACAAATATTTAAATAACAGAATTCCCTCTGCAAATACAAAATGATCATAATATTAATAAAACCAGCTAACTCCATAATATAGACCTCTGCTGTTTTGAAATGTATAGAAAATGTTCACTCAGAAATGAATATGTGCAATATGAACAAAAAAGACATATAATTAATTAATTAAATGTAATAAAATTTTAGCTTATATATTTTTAATTTTATTTTATTTAAATTTATTTTATTTATAACAAGGACAGTGCATATTAACCAAAGGACAACTGCATAATATGTCAGCGTTAGCCAAGAGGCTAGTTTCCATCTGTAATCCTTTGCCAGATGTACAAAAGGCACCCTAGAAAGAGGGATCACAACAAGATAGAACAATTAAAACTTAAGTAAGTTTGCGCAGCAGCAACAAAGCAGGAAGTCCAGACAGAGACAAGTGTTAACCTGATGTTTTACTGATGCTGATAATCTATCATTACTTGATCATAATTGGTCAAGCAACAACAAGGCCTAGTAGCAACAGAAATAGCACTATATTGCAGATTTGGTCACACTTAATCTTTAATAATTGTATAATCTCTACCATTCCAGATTCTGTTTCCAGTCAATGAACTGTATCCACCTTTGGCATTATCTGCAATGCTGTGGAGGATTGGGCTAATTGACAAATTGATTAGATGAAACCTACCCTTAATCTAGTTATTTCTTTTAAGAGCTTTGTAATGAGACTAGTGCTTTCACTGACAACTTCAGCATGCTCAATGCTTCAGCATTGGATAGAAGGAATAGTCTGTAGCCAAATTATTTGTACCTTCATACATTAAATTGCACTCTGGCTTCTCATGTCAACCACAAATAAGGACAACAAACAAAATCCTCCCTCTATGTCTGGACCAATCCTAGCACAAGTTCTGCAGAGATAATTAGTAAATGCACTGGATGGAAATCCACTAATTACGCAGGTAGTTGTATGGGGTAGTAGGTATGTTCCAATGAAGTTATTTCTTGTTTCTATGTTAAAACAAACAAAAAACAGAATAACCTGGTTGCATTAAACGCCCATTTTCGCTAGGGCTTTGCTTTGCCAAGAACTGATCAACCACATTCAAATACAAGATTAATTTTACTAGGTTTAAACTGCTGTCTTGATTATCTTTACATGCCAGTCACTGGAAAAGCACCAGGTCTTGTTGCTCTACTGCTCTACTGTTACTGTCTAATAATTGTGTATTTGTATTCCAACAAGTTGCCCAGAGCTGAGGGATAAAACCTATCCCTGACTAAATGTTCATGTAAGTATTATAAATTATTGTATATTATAAGATAGTATAAAATAAACAAAATATTGAGTGTTCAGTAGTATCTACAAGTCACTATGGGTGTTCAGTGCATGAAATAACAAAGGCTAATTGGCAAATTGATTGGATGAAACATACCCCTAATCTAGTTATTTCATTGGTTCTGTCAGTAATTCCTCTCACTAGAGCCAACTGGAAGAATGCAGATAACACACTGGGCTAATGTCAACAAGTTGCAGTCAAAAAATGAGAGGAAATAAAAAGCATCAAAGAATATAACACAAACAAATCTTCTTACATGAATACAGGTCACTTTAACCTGACCCACTGCTGACCTGTTCCCATGCCTTCCAATCCTCTTAAGTTGTAGTCAAATTCCCAAGCTGTATGTCACATTTGGTGACCCACTGTCTTCCTTTAAATGGTTTTAGTTGTAAACATGTAAACAAACTAATGATTTTAACAAATACCAATATTAGGAGTTGCAATTTTAGGGTCATTCATATTTATACACTAAGGTCATTTTCAGAATGTTATTCAAAGGATAATCCCAAACACTTGAAGAATTAGGGGATGGTTTAGGATTTTCCTTGGTAATCTTATACAGATAACATGGAACTATATAACACAGGCACATGTTTTAAAAGGGTCCAGTTAGCCACCAGGACACTTCCATACACTTGTGTTTAGCCTTAGCCTTCAGTTGACTAAATAGCAGGCAGAAATGGGCTGGGAAGGTGGAAATGAGCCAAACGGGACAGAGGGGCGAGACTTCTACATCCCTATGAACAACCGCTCAGGGCTGGTCCGGAGTCCTTTCGAGTACCCACAGTACTATTTAGCAGACCCATGGATGTTCAAGCTGCTGGCTCTTTACATGTTTTTCCTCATCTGCACTGGATTCCCCATCAATGCACTGACGCTGGTGGTGACAGCACAGAATAAGAAGCTAAGACAACCTCTCAATTTCATTCTGGTTAACCTGGCTATAGCTGGTCTCATCATGGTGATCTTTGGATTCACTGTTACTTTTGCTTCTTCACTTATGGGATATTTCTCTATGGGAAAACTGGGATGCACTATTGAAGGCTTCATGGCTACACTTGGAGGCAAGTTGCCAAATCACTTCTTATTTTCATTTGTTACTGTTTTAAACTAAGTTGTAATTTTATAATTTTAGGTCAAGTATCCCTGTGGTCTCTGGTGGTCCTGGCTGTTGAGCGTTACATTGTTGTCTGCAAGCCAATGGGTAGTTTTAAATTCACTGCCACACATGCTGGAGCAGGGTGTGCATTCACTTGGATCATGGCACTGTCCTGTGCAGTACCACCTCTGGTTGGCTGGTCAAGGTAATTAAATTAACCAGTTAACTAATTAACTAATTACTAATTATGATGAACTAAAGGTTTGATTTGACAGCGATGCTAGGTCATAGTGGTCATTTGGACTAGACTTTAGACTTCAACATTATTTCTGTATGAATGTGTGTTTTGCAGATACCTTCCTGAGGGTATCCAGGTGTCATGTGGACCAGACTACTACACTCAAGCTCCTGGTTACAATAATGAGTCATTTGTCTTGTATATGTTCACCTGCCACTTCTGTGTGCCTGTCTTTACCATCTTTTTCACTTATGGAAACCTGGTCTGCACTGTAAAGGCGGTAAGACAACTCAATGCATCTACTGACAATCTGGTTGATCTGGTGATCAAAACACACTGTAACAACACTACAGCAATAACAACATTTTTACAAAATTACCAAAAAATAAAGCAAAACAAACAAACAAAAAAATCATTTATTTATTTATTTGTAATACTGCCTGCATTTTCTGTCATTTATTTCTCCTGCATTTCTGTCAACATGTAGTCTCAACAAATTCACATCAATTTGAGAAACACTGTTTTCAGAACATGATTAAAAAGCCCAGTTATCATCTTTTATGTGTGTTCTGTGTCCAGGCTGCAGCCCAGCAGCAGGACTCAGCCTCCACTCAGAAAGCCGAGAAAGAGGTGACCCGCATGTGCTTCCTCATGGTCCTGGGCTTCCTAGTGGCCTGGACTCCTTATGCCAGTGTGGCCGCATGGATCTTCTTCAATAAAGGAGCAGCTTTCTCAGCTGTTGGCATGGCCGTTCCTGCCTTTTTTTCTAAGAGCTCTGCCCTGTTTAACCCAATCATCTATATCCTAATGAACAAGCAGGTACACTATTACCCTTTTCTCCCTATAGTGTCAGTTTTATAGTGTACAATATGTGTAACTAAACAGGCTGAATTCTGAGGGGATGTTCTAATGACTCTACAGTATATGGGGTTAGGTTTATGTAACCCCTCGGAGTACTATCTGTGACCTTGTACTGTCACCTTCCTTTTTCCAGTGAGGTCACCTACATTTAGACACATCAGGCACAAAGTCTAATGAGGGACATGGCCAATAACATTAGGACCACGCATGTCAATGCAGTTTAAATCCTTCTTCATGACAGCTTGGCATTAAATCCAACTTAAAGGTGCACCATTTAACTTTCCTGGTGGTCACCCCACTACCTGTTTGCTTCCATAGATATGTTACTGCTTTGAATGAGCCATCTGACTTATGACTTATGACATATGAGTTATAAATACATCTGTAATCGAATAAGTGCAAGATAGATAAATGCAATACTGTGGAATATTCCAGGCAATCCAATAATATCTCTATGAAGACAAGTAGGTAATCCTTCAGAAAGGTGACACAGTGTACATTTAATTGTCACTGTATTCAAAAAGGAGAAATAATATATATATTTTTTTTTCTTCGTAATTGGAAAACAGCTGAAAATATTTACTTTTGTTTAGTGAATCTACACCTGATCTTAAAACAGTTTTATATTGATAAATGTATCTTTGCTTTAAATGTAAATGTATGTGAATGTATTAGTTTATTGTCATTTAATACTGTTTTTGTTTGACTCTTTCAGTTCCGTAACTGCATGCTCAGCACTGTTGGTATGGGAGGCATGGTGGACGATGAAACCTCAGTGTCTGCCAGCAAAACAGAAGTGTCCTCTGTCTCTTAAACAGGCAGATAGATTTCTCTCATGGACTGAGACAATATCAATATTTATGTCTACAATGGCTCAGTCTTCTAGCTCAGAAGAATTTCATTGGAGAAGTGCCAGGATTTTTATGTCTGCATCTGGATTAATCTTGGCCAACTGTGAATGTCAGTTTACGTATTTGTTTGGCATTATATGGCAAAAATTAAATGTCTAATAAAATATTGAAGGCATGCACACTGCTTGGCCTATTTCTGACTATGACTGACAACCCCAGTTCTGGGTCCCTGCATAAGGAACATGCTACTTTATAAACTCTAGCCCCCAGCAATCCCAAATTCAAATCCACTTTATATAAGCACATTCTACAAACAAAACAGTTTCCAAAATGCTGCATAGAGATCAGAAAATGAAGACACCAAAAAGGTAAATACCATACCAGTCCCAAAACAATAAAACCAATAAAATCAATTATAAGCAAAACCACAAAAATCATAAAATAGTTGTAATAAAATAGTTGTAAATAAGTGGAAAAAAAAAAAAAGATAAAGAGGAGCTCTCAACTCACGCAGTGTTAAACACCAGAGAATAAAAGTAGACAAGACTTAAAACGGACGTGGGGGGCAGAGCGTTCTAGACCTTAGGGCTGACCATTTAGAAGGCCCTGCCTCTGGTTTTAAGTCTCGTTTTAGGCACCATGAGCTGGAGCTGGTCCTTGGACCTCAGAGTGTGCACGGGGGTGTAAATTCGGATGAGGTCTGAGATGTATTGTGGGGCCAGTCCATTCAAACCCTTAAAAACAAACAATAAAATTTTTAAATTGACACTAAGACGAACTGGAAGCCAGTGCAAAAATCGGTGTAATGTGCTAACGTTTTTTTGGTTCCGGTTAAAAGGCACCAGCAGAATTTTGGACCAACTGTAAATGAGAAAGTGCATGATGGCTAATGCCAGAAAAAAGTTAGTCGTTTAAGCGAGAGGAGATCAAAGTGTGTGTGACCGGTTCAGATCATTTAAAAGATAAAAAATAATCATTTTTATATAAAAGCTGCAAATGATAAAGACAGATTTTACAAACACATTCATTTGTCAAATTTAAAATCACTGTTAATAGTGACTCCAAAGTTGGTGACAGACTGTTTTGCATGATTTTACATGCTTTTACACATAAGATCAGATCAGGTCTGGTAATGGATTTGACAGGGGGGTCACAATATTAGCCCTAAAGTTGGCAGCCTTTTTATTAAAAAGCACAAGAAAGTTGTTACAGGATACTGATGATAACTAACATAGTGGACTGGATGGGGTTAAGAACAGTGCCTATAGTTTTAAAAAGAATACAGGGATTTTTAACATTTCTAGACACCACGTCACAAAGATATTTTGTTTTTTCAGTTTTGACAAACTTCTGATACGTGTGCCAACTGTCTTTCAAAACCATTGATCAGATCTAAAAACTCCCTTGCTAAAGGTTTGGATGGACAACAGATATGTTAAAATCACCAATAATTAAAATTCTGTCATAGTCCATTTACACTGGTCAGGAATCCTTTTGAATACCCACAGTACTACCTGGGAGACCTATTCATTTTCAAGATCCTAGCTACCTACTGGTTTTTCCTCATCTGCACTGGTTTTCCCATCAACTTTCTCACACTTTTTGTGACAGCGCAGAACAAGAAGCTAAGACAACCTCTCAATTTCATCCTGGTCAATCTGGCTGTTGCTGGTCCCATCATGGTCTGCTTTGGATTCACTATCACATTTATTACTGCTTTGAATGGCTACTTTTTTGGACCAATGGGATGTACAATTGAAGGATTTTTGACTACTCTTGGAGGTTAGTAATGGATGTTTACAATGGACCATATGCAGTGTTGGGGAGTAACAGATTACATGTACCGGAGTTACGTAATCAGAGTACAAATTATAAGTGTATTCAGTTACAGTTACTGTTTTAACCTGTTACCATCCACCTAATTTTGCGTGTGCACAATAGCACTACATAGGTCCCGGGTTCAGATCCCGGACGAGCCCCCAATTTGTTACGACCCAGCTCGTTTGGGGTGAGGGAAGTAACAAAAATAAAACCAAGATGTAAAATGGAATAAATTAAGTAATGTTTAATTAACAGGAATGTAAAGGTAAATTAACAAAACACTAAAAAATATACAGAAAACAACCTAAACTAAGAAACAGAACAACAGAATAAACAGAGTTTTGTGCCAGAAAAGGGGTCACGCAGGCTTACACAAAAACGAGTGGTAAAACTTAGGGACACACACTAAACTAAAACACAAGTTCCCCAAATTAAACCACATAAACCCACAAACAGAATCGAGTGACCAAATCAAAAAAGGCACAAAACTAAACTTAACTACACACACAAACACAAAACAAAATGGCATACTGGCCACCAAGGCCAGCAGCCCCGAACAGGTGTTGGCAATCTCCTTAAATAGGGGGAGGTGGCTGCAGGTGAGAACTTCGCAAAAATCACACAGCAAATTAAACCTAAGGCCTGGGGCCGTAACAATACCCAAGTGCCATAGCTTATTAAAAAAAAACCTTAGAACCCACATGCTTGTGTGAGGCACCATTTTAAAGCTTAGGCCTTCTAGTTTCTGTAGATATGCATATGAAGACTGTGAGTGCTGCCTAACCTACAGTACAGTCAATTAAAAATAGTATTTTTTTGCTTTGAAAAAACAATTGAAAAAAATAAAGGCCTTAGCTTGGGCATACTTCATGCTAGGCATTTGTGACTCACTACACTCATTGTTCAAGTTGTTGGCAACAACTGTGTAGAATTTCAGACCTCTAGGACAAAGGGTTTTGATGCTGTGAGCCTTTGTGTATACAAAATGACAATTCGGCACAAGATTGCCAAATTTGTGCCAAAATAATAATAATAATAATAATAATAATAATAATAATAATAATAATAATAATAATAATTGTTATTATTATAATACTTATTCTTCTGAGTTTTAGGCATGTTTTCTCAAGAAAAAAACCTAAAAGTAGCCAAAATTGTCTTCCAAGTGCCAGATCTGCGCTCCATGGCCCCTCCCGCACTGCTCTCTGTGTCCCTCTCTGTTACGCTTATAAACACAGCGTCCGTTTCAGACTACTGCATGTCCCACCCACCGTTTGAAAGCTCTGGTGATAGGCTAAAACAATATGTCAATCACTTTCTGGAAGATCCAATGACTGAAGAGATTTCCCGTAAAAAACCGATGACGCGTGCGTAAAGCCAGGAAGTAAGTGTGTGCGTTAGCTTCTTCAGCGGCTTGTCCCAGCCGCGGCACCGACAACAGCGGGGAGGGTCTCATTTTGAAGCTAAGAGTGTGAGGAAAACAAGCGTACCCAAGAGCGCCAAGAGAAACGGAACTCAGAGAGGGAGAAGGCTCGGAAAGTCAACATAGTTTTCATTCACGCATTCATCCATTCACACGGACGAGGATTTTCTGGATTATTTACCCACATGGAATTATTTTATGGAAAAAACAACTTGATATTCTTTTTCTGTGGATTATTACGGATTTACTGAATACAACCTTTCATGGACTGAACGCGTGTTAGACCGACAGAACCGGCTCAAAGGTAAGAAACGCGTATCTTATTCTTTGATTATGATGTGATTTTTTTAAGTTATCGCGTTTTGGGCTCGTTGTACGGAATAAAATTAATGATAAGGTTGTTTTATTGAGAAATTAAGCTTTCAAACGATGTATGACATGCCAGTAGTGAAAACAATAATGAAGGTGAATATACAGAGTGAACATTTTTTATTGGAAAATCGCCCGCCGGCGGGCGGGTGGTGAGTGGTAATTGGATTACAGTTACTTTGTTGAAATAAATGGATTACACGGCGGTATTTTCCTGTTTTCACATTTGGGGCTATATCCCTTTTTTATTTTTATTTTTTTTCCCAGTAATTCCACTCATTGCCGGACACTAAACCAGGTCCAAACCAGGTCTAAACCAGGACTAAACCAGGTCTAAACCAGGACTAAAACCAAGACTAAACCAGGTCTAAACCAAGACTAAACCAGGTCTAAACCAGTTCTAAACTAGGTCTAAACCAGGACTAAAACAGGATTTAACAGGACTAAATCATACTGCGCGGACCGTGTTTCCTCCTCTTCTATCAATAATATTTTTAATTTGGTTAAGTAAAGACTCTTTACTTTTTTATTGTCTTTTAGCAGACAAAACATCTTATGTTACGATATCCTCGTCTTTGCTTCTCTACAGGAAATCAAGTAATCCAAAGTATTCAGATTACGTTACTCACTTTAAGTAATTTAATGGATTACGTTACAAATTACATTTTGGGATATGTAATCTGTAATCTGTAGGGGAATACATTTTAAAAGTAACCTTCCCAACACTGACCATATGCTCTGTGTTCCTAATAAATGAATTTATTTGAAAAGGACAATACATACTGATATTCTCTTGTGTGTTTATGCGGTACATCCCCGAGGGTCTGCAGTGTTCCTGTGGTCCTGACTACTACACTCTGGCTCCAGGCTTCAACAATGAGTCCTTTGTGATGTACATGTTCATCTGCCACTTCTCTTTCCCAGTGGGGCCCATCTTCTTCACCTATGGTAGCTTGGTGCTCACTGTCAAAGCTGTAAGTTCTATTGGACTGACACAAAACTCCAGCCCAATTAAACTTTAGTCCAATACAACTTTTATTAAATTAAGACAATACAAACCATCTCAAAATAATCCGTAATCAGTTTGACTCAAAACAGAACTGAAGCAATTAGAACAGTAAGACAAATAAAAGCAAAAAGCAACACATTACATAAATAACAAACATGGTATACAGAAATTTAATTAAAGTACTTTATAATTAATTTAAAATGAAATATAATAAATAGAATACAGCAATTTCAAGCCACCCCAGCTATAAATAATTCAATAACTTATCTCTATAGTATCACCACTGATAAGACATAACTCCTGTTTCCTCCTTCCCCAGGCTGTAGCCCAGCAGCAGGACTCTGCCTCCACTCAGAAAGCCGAGAAGGAGGTGACCCGCATGTTCTTCCTCATGGTCCTGAGGTTCCTGGTGGCCTGCACTCCTTATGCCAGCTTCGCCGCATGGATCTTCTTCAACAAAGGAGCAGCTTTCTCAGTCGTTGCCATGGCCATTCCTGCCTTTTTCTCTAAGAGTTCTGCCCCCTTCAATCCTATTATCTACGTTCTCATGAACAAACAGGTCAGTACATGGTTTCAAAATGAGGACCATTGCGATAGTAATTGACAACTAATTAAATCTTTTAAACTAATTAAATCTTTTAAATGGGACAAAAGTTGCAACAGGAAGACAAAATCTAGAAGTGGCACTTTAACCATGTCAGTAACATATCTGGAGTTTTATATTGTTTGATTCTTGGATGTTCAGGGAATACAGTCTGGGGAGGTGTTTTCTCTTTCTTGGGCTTTTTTTTTTGTTTCAGTGCATTAAAGGCTTAAATTGTCTTAAATATGAGCTATGAATCTGATAATGACTTGCTTTTACACAAACATGCCTAATCTCCAACCTTTTCTGTCTCCTCTAGTTCTGTAACTGCATGCTCAGTGCCGTTGGTATGGGAGACATGGTTGACTCAGTATCAGCCAGCAAGACAGAAGTGTCCTCTGTCTTCTAAAGGCTTGGCACTGGACGTTTTACAGTCTCTTGTCCTGGATCACTGTACCAACAAATGGATTGCCTACATTTTTTTTTTTTTATTCCAACAGAGCAACATGACTGCACATCGTCCTATGCATCCTACATGTGTATACATCTACTGTGAGTTTGAAAGAGCAAATGAAAAAATTACATAAAAATGGAACACTGGATATTGTTGGGTGATGATATTGATGTATATATTTGGAAAATGTAGAAAATAAATGCATGCTTGAAAAAATATTTTTGGCTCTATTTCATGTTTCTTTTCAAGTAGGTTGCAATACTTTTGGAAACTAGCTGTATAAATACTGGTGCATTTAATTTGAATTAATGTGCATTGTCCCCAATCAAATAAATTAATAAATAAAATGAGTACATTTATAGGTTTTAGAATGTTTTGCAGTTTCTATAGAAAAAAATCAAAGCATTATAGCATCTTTTGAAAGATGCAAAAGAAAAATTAAATCGCTATGGATCCTACCTGGACAACTGAAGGGATTACAGTCCCTGACAAAAGTCTTGTCGCTTATCCATTTTGTAGAAACAAAAGCTTATAAACTGACTTTAAATTAATCGATTGGTTTTAGAAATGTCTCATATGAAAGCTAAAACCCTCCCAAATTATGCTCTATATACTAAAATTAATTTGCTTCACTGAGGAAAGATTGATCATTTAATGAACACAGAAAGGTCAGATTTTGGCAAGACAAAAGTTTTGTCGCCTACAGAAAATTGAACAAATAATTTACTTCACATACAAAAATATGTTGCATAACATCAGTGAATGAAGTAGTGGTGCAGTGAGATCCATATTTAATATCTTGTATGACTTCCATGAGCTTGAAGGACGCATCCACGCGGTTCGACAATGATTCATACAGTTTGTTGATGAAGTCATCACGAATAGCAAAGAAAGCAGGCTTACATGCCTCCCAGAGTTCATCAAGATTCTTTGGTTTTGCCTTCCATGCTTCCTCTTTCATTCTACCCCAGACATGCTCAATGATGTTCATGTCTGGTGACTGGGCTGGCCAGTCCTGGAGCACCTTGATCTTCTTCGCCTTGAGAAACTTTGATGTAGAGATAGAAGTATGCGATGGAGCACCATCCTGCTGCAAAATTTGACCCCTTTTATGGTTGGGAATGTAAGAGGTAGCTAATACTTCTTGATATTTTAGGCTATTGATATTTGCCTTCCACCCTGCAAATGTCTCGCACAGCCCCATACTGGATGGAACCCCAGACCATGATTTTTCCACCACCAAACTTAACTGTTTTCTGGATGAATCTTGGATCCATGCAGGCTCCAGTAGGTCTCCTGCAATATTTGTGGCGGCTGTGATGTAATTCAACCGAGGATTCATCTGAGAAATCCACCTTCTGCCACTTTTCCAGTGTCCATCCTTTTAGCAGGCTGTGGGCCTTGGCAAATGCCACACGGTTTTTTAATTGCCTTTTGTTTAGTGCTGGTTTCTGTGCACTGATTCGACCATGGAGGCCATTTCGAGACAGAATTCTACAAACTGTTGTGGTTGACACAGGGACTTGAGGTGACCAGGCCTGGTGGAGCTCTGCTGCAATCAGCAAATCAACAAACGGTCCTCCCGAGCAGTTGTCTTGTGGGGTCTGCCAGACCTGGGCTTGTCAAAAACATCTCCAGTCATTTCAGATCTTTTTCTTATTCTTTGTACTTGACACTGAGACACATTGAAGGTGTCAGCCACCTCAGCAGTGGATCTGGTCTTCAGCCTCTTGATAATTAACGCTTTGGTCTCAGGGTGGATCTTAGCATGTTGTCAGAGGTCAAGTTGCAGTTGATGTGAAGGTCTGGTGTGCTGGGGTTCTTTTTATACACACCCACTAACTGATTGATCAGTAACTGATCACAGGTGAGGCTGTAATCTAGGATTGGGTGCATCATATGACAAGGCGACAAGACTTTTGTCTTGCCAAAATCTGACCTTTCTGTGTTCATTAAATGATGAATCTTTCTTCAGTGAAGCAAATTTATTTTAGTATATAGAGCATAATTTGGGAGGGTTTTAGCTTTCATATGAGACATTTCTAAAACCAATCGATTAATTTAAAGTCAGGTTATAAGCTTTTGTTTCTACAAAATGGATAAGCGACAAGACTTTTGTCAGGGACTGTACACAGGCATTGCTTATGAATGATGAAAACCTGAAACCTAAGAATACCTAAGCACTCTTTCTTTATTTCATCTAGTGTATTTCATCTTCATCTAATGTATTTCATCTTCTTTGATATGATCTTCAATTATGATTATGATTGTGATTTTGATTATGATTAGCCTCTTGAGCTCCAGAAGTGAGGACACTGGGCTAGAACCTTTTCCATTCTGGAGTGACCTGTCATCACAGAGACCTTGGTGGCAGAGCCTGGTCGCCAGCAGTGGAAGAAAAACAGAAGTAAGTAACTAAACAGAAGTAACGCAGCACATGACATAGTCATTAACAATTCCCAGTTCCAACATAACTTTTCATGCATGTACAATTTATTTTTGAGTCAGTGATGGAGTGGCTTTAATGCCCAGTACATCTGTGTAATTAATTTGGCCTTAGACGTTCAACTACACAGCAGTGAGCACCGCCATGTCATGAACTTTGATTTTCACCATGAGCTCATTAAAACCTAGAAATGTTTATAACATACACCAATCGTTTTCTGAATTATGTTAGAAATTTGATCACCCTTCTGATTAAAAAAAGAAACTCTCTAAATTTATGTCTGAGGTTCCTCTAGTTAAAAAATATATTTTTGTTTTGGAAAAAAAAAAAAGGTCAGACCAGACTTTGGCATTTTCCCTTTTCATTGGGAGTGCAGTCAGTGTCACACACTGACTGCACTCCCAAGGTGACTCTGACAAGACTTGGGCTCCTCAGAGGTTCCTCCCCTCCCTGTCTGCTCAATCCTCTTTGGCTCCCCTCTGTCTGTTCCCCATCTGCTGTAGCAGAGTCCTGATACATAGGTTTCAAAGAAATAAATATACTGCTAGTAGATTTTAAGATTTTCTTTTCTCTTATATTGTTATTAGTATCAACTAAAGTGTCAATATTGAAGCCTTCGGCTACTCAACTGACAATGTTTTTGTCTAATTTGTTCTTTTTCTCATCTTCAAATTGAACCTTGTCTCTATTTATTTATTTATTTGATTGGGACAGAGCATGTTAATGAACAAACATGACAACATGAATGTAAACACACCGGATTGTAGCCTAAGGCTAATTTCCATCCGTTGTCCCAAGGGCTGGGGTCACAGGGGGCCAGACACTAAAATATTGCACACTCCACTCATTATATAGTTCCATTCATTGCACAGTTCCCATTCATTGCACAGTTCCCATTCATTGCACAGTTCCCATTCATTGCACAGTTCCCATTATTGCACAGTTCCCATTATTGCACAGTTCCCATACATTGCACATAGAAAAACAATTAAAATCACAGTGCAGTTATACATGTGTACATGTTTGATTTGACCATAACCAAGTTTTTGTTTGAGCTTTAAAAGAGCTGTATGTAGGGCATTCTTTCAGGGTCAGTGGAAGACTGTTCCACAGATTTCCACCTTGTACAGATAAAATATTCTGACCAAAGGTGGTCCGTCTCTGGGGTATGACCAAGTCACCCCTGGCGGTGGCTCGTGTGGTTCTTATTGAAGTGTCTTTACGTTTAATGTAATTATTTAATGGTGGTGGTGCCAGGGAGTGTAGAACCTTATAAATTAGACAAGTCCTTTTGAGTTTGACCATATTGCTAAAATCTAGAAGTCTGTGCTTTTTCAGTATGTGACAGTGGTGGTGGGAAATGGGTTTTTTGTCAAGTATTTTTAGACCTCTTTTATAGAGGTTTTCAATGGTTTTAAGTGTTGTGGGGCAGGCAAGAGTAGAAGAAGTAGTTAAGCAGTAATCGATGTGAGAGATAATCATTGAATAGAAATAAGTTTTTGCAGCATTCATGTTTAAGTTATTCCTGATATGACGGAAATTCTGAATGTTAAACTGGATAACCTGGGATACTTTTTTAACATGACTTTTGAAGGATAGTGTTGAATCTAGAATTACTCCGAGGTATTTAAATTCTGAGACCAGATCAAGTTCAACTCCATTAAGAAAAACGTTTGATTGCTTCAAATCGGTGTGACGTTTTGAGAAGTACATGCAGACGTTTTTTTTGGTGTTTAGCAGAAGGCACGAATCCTTGAGCCAGCTATGCACAGATGATAAGGCACTCTCTCACAAACACTAGAAACAACCTTGCACATATTTGGACCACAAAATAAACTACTTTCAAGTTTCATCTGCACATTTAGCTGTTAAATATTTTTTAATAATAAAATAATAATAAACAATAAATAATAAAATACAAAATATAATAAAAAATATATATATTCTGGTCACTCCAGCAATTGCCAAGTTAATACAAATGCAGCTGGTATTAACTATACCAAGAGCTCTGTTATTAAAACAGGCCTTTAGAAAATCAGTCACTGTGAACAGGCAACTGTTAAGCTTCATTTTTTTTATTTATTTATTTTTTATATAAAACATGAACTGGATTCTGTTCAAACCATTGTCAGTCTGGGGCATGTGCTCACAGGCAAAACACTTCCTGAACTGTCTGAACCAGCCATGTCAGACCCGGGGGCCAAATTTGGCCCACGATATAATTGCATTTGGCCCGCGAGATCTTATCAAATATGTATTAGAGCTGGCCTGCCAGCTACAGATAGGCTATAGAGATATCATTTATTTAAAATTTTGTGATTATTTTATATTATGTTTGTTCTGGATTCAGTGTTTTAGCAAAACTATTATTAAACATTTATTTTAATAAGAAAAGGTTTAACATTACATATCTCGAAAGAAGAGAAAACATGCAGATGCTATTGAAATGTTTCAATAAATATTTTCTTTGTCCCACGACTTAAATCCCAGTTTTTAGTTTTGGCTCTCT